TCGGGATTTTTTGATTTCTTTAAAACACAGGTAAACAAAGGACCTCAATTGCCATCAAATCTGGGAAAAAATGAAAACAATAAAACACCTCAGGAGAGAAAGGAGACCTCAGGCATTTCATCCCTGTTTGGATCCCTGGGAGATATCTTTAAAGGGGATTCGGTGTCCTCTCAACCATCGGCAGGTACCGCTGTTCTACCAAAACCCGACACTAGAGTCCCAGTTGAGTTCAGAGAGAAATCTGGGAAGTCAGGCGGACAGCACAGTGGTATGCAATCCTTCTCTTCTGCTGCTGTGGGAGAGGTTAGAACAGAGGCTCTGAACAAACAGACCTCCCCGAGTCATAGTATACACATTGAGCAACCAAGCAGAAAGGCAGAAGAGAAGAATGATAGCAAAGCCTCCCAGAATGCATTGCACAAGCCAGTGGTACACAGAGGACCCAAAATGGGTCAGCTGAGAGAGCCCCCTGTTCAAGGTGGCAATGCACCAGCGATTATGCCAACGCAACCAGGAGACAATCTTACCGGTGGTGTGCCTGATAAAGTGACACAAAGCAAGCCAGATCAGACATCTAGAGACCCACAGTGTAGTTTGCCTTTTGGTTTTTCAAATGCCACTGCTTCAAAACCACAACCAGCGCAACCATCCACCAGAGGTTTATTCTCGTTCTTCAGTGGATCAGAGACCGCTACATCCTCAGTACCCGCTACTAATCATCGTACTGCTGAGCAGCTAGAAACAGAAGGGTTATTCAAGCTTCCCTCCTTCTTTTCGACTGGTCCTACTGTCAAGAAAAACGTGACTCAGAGTAGTTCCAGCTTCAGTTTCTTCAATCTGACCTCTTTGCTGGATGAAAAACCACCAGCTTCTCCAGAGAAGGAAAATGTAAAACGTGCTCAGCAAGCGACCGCTAAGCCATTGATGAAGCAAAGCGTTTCTGTTGACTCGAGTATCAGAGTGACCACGCAGCCAGGCCTGGGCAGTAAGAAAGAGGGTCCTGGCATTGTGAAGCCAAAGGTTGGCCGACAAGAGACCCGGAACAACTTTCCCGGCCGTGCGAATGAGGCAAATGTTCCAGCGGCAGAGCGTTCAGTAGAAGGCGTTGCTGAGGTAAGCCAGAAGAGTGCTGTAGAGACGCTTTCTCAGACTGATGTGGATGCTGTCACAGAGCCAGCTGCTTCTGATCCTGGGCTTGAAGTTTCTAAGTTACATGCAGACGGTGAGCCCTTTCCTGCAGAGTTTCAGGAGCCAAAAGCACATCTCTCAGAACACACCGGAGAGGAAGAACCCATTTCACCTTCGGCAGCTGAGGAGGACTCTTCACGTTCAAAAGGACAGACTTCTGACAACGGGGGTGGCAGTTCAGTCCCAGATGAAAAAATCAACCTCACTAATTTAAATAACTTAAATGCTACCAACAGTGTATCAAGGGAGGTTGTTTCAGAAGAAAAATTGAATGTACCCAAATATAATTTACCTGGGCACACCTCAGGAGTTACATTAAAACAGGCACAGGAATCAAAGTCTTTCTCAAAAATGCCAGAAACATCTAATTTGCAAAGCAAACCTAAAGAACATGAGAGTGACAAATCGGTACTGGATTCTTCAGTGGAAATGTTTTCAAGCTTTATGACCAAAGTGAAATCGCCTCGAAGTTTATCTGGCTTGTTCTCCCAATCTCAACCTCCAGCTGCTCCGAGCGCTCAAAAGAAAAGCCCCTCCTTTTTTAGTCTTTCCTCTCTGCCAAGCGGACCAGCTCCAACTTTCACAAATGATCTCTTGGGCATTTTCAAAGGTGCAAAAGAAACCCCAAAGGAAGAGGTTGTTTTGAAACCCACCGCCAAATCTCAAAGTAATACTGCAGAAAACACGATAGGGCCAACTCCTGGAAAAGATTCCGAAAAGCTAGAAGAAATAGCCACATCCGCAGTGTCTGAAATAAAGACCACTGCGTCTCTGAAGGAAACGTACACGTCAGAGTCACAAGAGAGCACCGCAAAAGATTCTAGTGTGTCAAAAGAGACTGGAGAAAATCAAAGAATTGAAACCACTCAAGAGAATGCACCTGAAATGTTGCTTGCAGGCGAAGAACAGATCCCTGAAGTCCATCAATTGAGTGCTGATTTGCAGCCCTCCATGGAGCCGGGGGATGCTGACCTGTGCCGTTCAGACTTGGATAGTGCAATTGGTACAGAACAGACAACGACAGCTGACCAGATAGATCTGAGTTTGTGCCACTCAGAAGTGGGCAGTACACACGTAGCAGAAGAGCTAACCGCTCCCACCAAGGCAGAGGTTAACTTCTCCCATGCTGACCGTAACAGTGTGCTTGGACTGGAACCCCGAGCTCTAACTGACGAGGCAGGTGTAAATGAGTGCCAGTCGGATCTGAGTACTGCTCTGGAAATGGGGGTAATCGCTCCCGGGGATCAGGCAGGTGTTGATGCCTACCCATCAGATGTGAACGGAACCCTTGGAACAGAACCCAGGCCTCCAGCTGATGAGACCAATGTTAGTTTGGACCAGCCAGATGTGACTAGGACA